GAAGTGATTATATCAATTTCCAGCTCTCAGTACCATTACCCTGAAAACCAAGTCTTTAATATGTGGGATTTTTCAAGGACATTCAATATCCAAACTATAAAAAATGTCCACTACTGGAAGGAGGAGGTGCAGGTGTAGAAGGTTTTTGAACACCTTGGGCTGGAACTGATGCAAGCACCAAGGCTAGGATTCAGGCACAGTAGAACACCACCAGGTGAAGGGGGAAGAAGGACATCACCATGGCGATACAGAGCCCATCAGGGTCTGGAAAGTTCCTAAGCAGGAGACCTGGGCTAGGGCTAAGAGGTCACAGAAGTAGTGGTAGATACAGACAACATTGTCCGTATTATCTGGGAGTCTGTACCAATTCTAGGCTGGGCAAGAGGAGGGTGGTGATGTAGGCATGACTTCCAGTGCAGTGTTGGTCTGTGGGGTCATGTGAACATCAAAGGGTCTCAAAACAGTCATGTGTCATGGCCACCAGGAGAAAGGCAGGAGGAACTGGAATAAACGCATATACAGCTGTGCAAGCAGAGGAAGTGAGCCCCACGCATGGCCAGTGCCTTTAGAGCCATTTTTAGCAGAAAGAATGTCTAGCTCTAAGAAGTTAGTGATAAGGAATTATGTGGGTGTCTTAGGGTTTCTATTGCTGCGACAAAACAAAGCAATTTGGAGAGGAAAGGGTTCATTGGGCTAACACTTCCATATCACTGATCATCACTGAAGGAAGTCAGGACAGGAACCCAAACAAGCAGGAACCTGAGGCAGGGGCTGAGACAGAAGCCATGGAGGAGTGCAGCTTACTGGCTTGCCCTTATGGCTCGCTCAGCCTACTTTCTTATAGAACCCAGGACCACCAGCCCAGGGATGGTGCCACCCACAATGGACTGTGCCCTCCCACATTGATCACTAATTAAGAAAATGCCTTATAGCTAGATCGTATGGAGGCAACTTCTCCACTGAGGTTCTCTCCTTTCAGACAACTCTAGCTTGTGTGTCAAATGTCCTAAAACTAGCCAACACAGGGGGTTTACAGACTGGGCTATGCCAGCAAGATCAAGCATTCCTCACCAGGAAAAATGGGTAGATTCAGAGCAAAGTCAAGTCTGGATGGTGGTACATCCATGTAATTCCAGTGGGGGACTGAGGCAGGCAGATAGCAGGTGGGGTGGGTGAGAAGTCCTATGGTTCATTACAGTTCTGCTGTTGAATGAATTCTTGTCATACCTGTGACCAAAAAACAGCTCAAAGGAGGGTTTTTACTAGAGCCAGGGTTCTCTGGGGTGTCAACTCATCACTGCTAGGACCTTTATACTTGAACTGAGCAGCTTGGTAGCAAGAGCAGAGCTTGAGCTCTTACCTAAAGGTGGACAAGGAGCACAGGAGACAGACTGAGAGCCATGTGTAACCTCAAAGGCCCCCTCCTAATCACCTACTCTCTTCAACTAAGTCCCACCTCCTAAAGTTTCTACCACAGCACCACCAGTCAGTGACCAAAAATCCAGGAAATAACCTTTTGTTCACATTCAACCCATAACTGCCTTCCATAGTGGGATGCTTGAAGGTTTTGAGTAGACTACACATCACTTCCTTTCCAGTCATCATTGTTATCCCAACATTGTTGTGGGATATTATTTTAAGATGTGTTGCATTTGTTTATGCTGTGGAACATTTGTTTTAATGATTCAAAGATGTGTTGCATTCTTTTATGTTGTATTTCTTTAAATCTGTGAAGTTATGTTACTTTGCCTGCCTAAAACACCCGATTGGTCTAATAAAGAGCTGAATGACCAATAGCAAGGCAGGGGAAAGGATAGGTGGGGTTTGTAGGGGAGACAGAATAAATAGAAGGAGAAGAATGTTAGAGGAATCAGAAGAAGGAGCGAGAGAACAAGGAGAGGAGGACGCTAGGGGCCAGACACCTAGCCACACAGCCAGCCATGGAGTGAAAATGAATGTAAAATACAGAAGAAAAGGAAAAGGCCCAGAGGCAAAAGGTAGATGGGATATTTTAAGTTAAGAAAAGCTGGTTAGAAATAAGACAAGCTAAGGCCAGGCATTTGTAAGTAAGAATAACTTTCTGTGTGATTTATTTGGGAGCTGGGCGGTGGGTCACCCAAAAGAGCCAAAAAGAATTTAAAAAGCCAACAACACAGCATTCTCTCTCTCTCTCTCTCTCTCTCTCTCTCTCTCTCTCTCTCTCTCTCTCTCTCTCTCTCTCTGTGTGTGTGTGTGTGTGTGTGTGTGTGTGTGTGTGTGTGTGTGTGTACATGGAGACCATAGGTTAACAATGGGTGGCTTCCACAATTGCTCTCCACCTTAGATTTGGAGAGAGTTTCTCACCGAACCTAGAGCACACCCGTTAGGCCACACTTACTGGCCAGCAAGCTCCAGGGATCCTCCTATCCCCATGCTGGGATAACAGGCACAAGTACTGAATGACTTTCCATGTATTTACTGGGGATCTAAACTCAGGTCCTCACATTTGCATGGCAAGCACTTCACCAGCTGAGCCACTGAGAAATGAAATCTAACCGCAATGACTGAAAATGTTGGTACCATTTGGCAGAAAAGAAAAACATTTGTAAAGATCTGGACTCATTGGCAGTACCCACAAGGGCCTGAAAATCAATCCCACTGAGGGAAAAAATCAGTCAGCCTATCTTGTAATGCAATGATAGGCTTGAAAATTAGGCACTTCCTTTGCAATAACCCGTATGTAATACTGTAGTCTTTTTGGATGGTGTGACAAGGGAGATTTAACACTTAGGAGCCAGACTGAAGACTTCAGGGCAGCTTTCTAACCTTAAATCCTTTAGTCCTAAAGAAAGAAAAGTAACAATCAAGAACCAAGTCAACACTACAAGGTCAAAGGGTAGGTGCCATCAGTCTGAGAGGAAAAACAGAAAGAAGAGGAGGAGGAGGAAAAAAAAAACCTATTCAATCGTTAAGATGTCGACCAGAAAATCAAGTCGCTTCTTTAAGGACATGGCCAAGGCTCCCACTAGTTTCTGCTGCCACGGAGGAAGGAACATTCTGGTGTGGATATGTGGGCCAGCCTCCTTTGATACAAACCCCTTCAGTATGCATCCCTACTTAGTTCCTGAAGAGGAGTCCTCAAACTTGGGCCCTCTGAAGGCAACAGACTCACTGAGTAAGAATGAGTGAAGTTAAGTCCTGTGTGTGTGTGTGTGTGTGTGTGTGTGTGTAGGGTAGAGTGATGCAGTTTATTCTGAAGTTCTCTTAACTGCACCTACGAGCCCAGAGCAGTGGTACTGGCCTCAGTGAGGACTCGGCTCAGAGAATGTAAGGGATGGCTGGCACACTCCACTCTGATCTGCAATGGATTCCATTTCTCTTCTGACCTAACTTTCCTCTCCCTCTATCTGGGTGGGAAGATGCTGACCCGGGCTTTACTCGGACTTGTTTCTTTGGCAGCTGTCCAGGGCAGGGCATGTTGACCGGGGGCATCTGGGTCACTGCTACTTCCTCTCCTGCAATGCTGGAGAGGTTCTACTTGGGTTTTCCAGGACCACCTCCAGCTCTCCCTCTTCTAACGCTGTCCACCTTTCCAGTGTAAGAGTGGAGACAGCCCTGAAGAGAATCGTGCCTGTGCCCTCTCTCATGACTGTGGAAATCAGGCTGTGACAAGGTGGCTTACATGTGTCGCCTCCCTGTCAGAAGAGGGTCAATGTCAGATCTCGTCTAGTAACCATGCTCCCCGAATGTGGTATTCACTCCTCCAGCAAGCCAGTCTGTCTGGGCAACTTAGACGGTTTCTCTGATTTCATTTCTCTAATGAGGCCAAAGGTTTTATTTTCTTCTCCGTTTCTCAGGCTGGTGTCCGAGGCAGGTATAAATTTCAGTTTTGCACTGAGAGAATTTAAAACAGGTTCAGATGACCTGGATGATAAAGAGACTCTCTAAATAGTTAGAAAAAAAAGTTCTCAAATGTGTCTTAAGAAGAGAAAAACTAGTCACATCTTCCTGAAGAAAAATCCTTGCAGCTGCTTCACATCTGGTGAGTAAAGGCTCAGCACCTGCAGCCGGGGTCACCATGAACCCGTGGCAATATTTTTGATTGGTGAGTTCATTGGTAAAATGTCTAAGTTCCTCCCAGTAGATCAGTCAGTAAGCACAAACAGGTACCTTCTCCAAAAGCAAAAGTCTGAGGAGGGCGTTCCTGCTGACTGGGACCATGTGCCAAGTTTTCTGGGAGATTCTGGAACACCAGAGCCAGGGTTTTTGTTTGGTTTTTTTAAGTCGGCAGTTTTGTACAATATACAAGTGACATTTCTCCTCCATAAGCTCCCTCCCCTAATAAAAATGGCTCAGAGAAGGGAGTTACTTGGCTGAGGTTGCACAGAGAGTTGGTGGTACTCAAACCAGAACCTGCACACCTTCTGCCTGCCCGGCCTCCCTGGGGCCACTGTGGAACCCATCAGCTATGCTTCCCTTTCTCTCACCATCCTTGGAGGTCCTGGACCACTCTCCTATAAAGCCAGCCTGACAATAGTACCCAGGCCCCCAACTTCCCACAGGCAGAGATTGTGCTGATGACTTTAGGGCAGTGTGGAAAGTTCTGCTGTAGAATGGGTGAGCACTACACTGCAGAGAACCTCTGGCCCATTTTCCTTGTTCCTGTCTGGAACCTCTGTAGCTTGCCCCAGGCCAGCCCCAACCCAGGAAGCTGTAGCTGATCCTTTCTCTCCCACCCAGTGCCTCACTGCAAACAGCCAGCTTGGGATGGAGTCCAACACCATGAGTCCCCTAAGAGCCCACCCTTCCAAAGCTGCTGCCATCTTCGACTTCAAGGATCTCTTACTGGAGCTCTGATCTACATTTTAGGGGCACTCTCAGGTGACTTGTTAACTACTCCTGCTGGGCTTTGTGAGAAGGAGAACAACAAGATTAATCATCCTCACTGGGACACAGAACTTTGTGTCCTCTGGGGCTCCCCCATCCATAAAGCAATGGCTGGTATCACTACTTAAGGATACCGTAGTTCTGAAGGCCCACATTCGCTAATTCTCTGTGTAGCTTCCATGGTGATGCAATGAGGACAGGTGTGAGGATTCACTCTGGGAGTGTAAAGTGCCCGTGTGGACCCTCAGGTGTCCTGAAGCTGTAGGACAGGTGTGGCAGAATGGAGAGCCACTCAGCTCCCAGGCTTCTTTTCACTCACTTGCTGGTTCTCTCTTGCTCACTCCTGCTCTTTCTCGGATACCTTATGGGTAGCCAACGTGTAGCCTCCACCAGGGAGCCCTCCATGACTTCATCTTCCTCCAGCTGCCAGCGTGCTTCCTCTTCTCTGGAATAACCAGGCCCAGCTGTGAATGCTGCTGTTTTAAATCATAGAGAACGCTGCTACATCAATCATGCTGTCTTGAGTGATGCTGGCTTGATCATGGTGAACTGGCAACGGAGTGGAGTGGCCTGGCATCCTAACTATTATGACCTGTGCATTGGAGGTCCCAGAGGAGAGAACAAAGCAGGGTTACCTCATGAGGAGAGCTTAGCCGGGACCATGAGAAAGAGATCAGCCAAGCCACAGTGGGTTGGGAAGCTTGGGAGAAGTGTTAGACAGACATGTAGAAGATTGTTTGGAATGCAATGTATGTGTCTTGCATGGCCTCATGTAGTTTAGTCTGGCCTCAAACTGACTATGCAGCTGAAGGTAACCTTGAACTCCTGATTTTCCTGCCTCTGCCACCCAAGTGCTGGGATTAAAGATGTGTGTTTCCTCCGTCCCTCCCTTTCTCCAACTCTCCCTCCTTTCTCTCTTTCTTGACAGGGTGTCACTATACAGCTCAGACTTGCCTGATTCTACTATACCCTGGGCTGGCCTCGATCTCTGAACCCTCCTGTCTCAACCTCTCCAATGCTGATGTTAGAGGCCTGCACTGCCACACCTAGCTGACTATCTGTGATGCAGCTGAGGGCGTGGGGAGAATCTGAAAAGATGAGGCTAAAGTGGCCAACAAGCCCAAGAGAGAAGGGTCTCTAACTCCAAGCTCAGATGAGAACTCAGTGTGGGGATGTCGGGAATCTGCACTGGCTGGTTTTGTGACATAAGCATCAGAGAGGAAGGAGCCTCAGTGAGATCCAGCTGTAGGGCATTTTCTCAATAGTGATCATTGGAGAAGGGCTCAGCCCATTGTAGATGGTGCCATCCCTGGGGTGGTGGTCCTGGGTTCTATAAGAAAGCAGGCTGAGCAAAGCATGAAGAGCAAGCCAGTAAGCAGCACCCTTCTATGGTTTATGCATCAGCTCCTGTCTCCCGGTTCCTGCCCTGCTTATTTTTGTCCTGACTTCCTTTGGTGATGAACAACAATGAGGAAGTATAAGCCAAATAAACCCTTCCCTCCCCAACTTGCTTTTGGATCATTGTGTTTTGTCTCAGCAATAGAAACCCTAACTAAGACAGAACTGGTCCCATTCTTAGTGAGACTAACACAGTCAGCTACAGATATCAAAAGCTCATGGCTTTTGTGGCAAGGGGTTTGGGTTAGAGCAGGAAGGGCTTCAAGCAGGCAGATTGGCAGGATGCATGGTGGTGAAGAGTGGGACAGGGACACAGCCGGTCTCAGGCAGTGCTTACCTGTGCCAACAACTGTATCCTAGTTCTCACTTGATTTAATATGAGCAGTATTGATTTTTCTATATAATATGATTCCTGGGGCTTGGAAGATGGCTTCATTGGCAAGGTACTTACCATACAAGCATGAGAACCTGAGTTTGGGTCCCTAGCACTTGTGCTGAGCACAGCAGAGCATGTCTGGAACTCCAGCATTGATGTGGGGGAAAATGTAGACACAGGTGGATCCCATAGTTCATTGGCCAAAGTCAGTACTCCAGGATCAGTGAAAGGCTACCTCTGAAAAAACTAATGATAATAAAGTGGAGGGTGACCAAAGAAGACATCCAACATCAACCTCTGATCTACACACACACACACACACACACACACACACACAAGTAAACACATTTGTACACAGCAAGAGGGACACAGAGAGTGTTATGTGACCCCACAAAAAGGCTAATGTATTGTAGGCTTGTGCCTCTGTGGGTGGCACTTCTGAGAAGTCAGTGGATCACGAGGGTGCCAACCAGTGCTCTTGTGACTGAATAGGCATTCAGAAGGTGATATCCTGTCAGAGGAAGAAGGTCACTGGAGGTGTTAGCATGCCTTTGATGGGGATATCTTATCCTCAGATCACTGGCCCATGCCTCTTGGATACAGGGAATTGCGCGGCTTTGTTCTGCCACATCTTTCCTCCTGTGATACTCTGCCTTCCCATAGGCTGACAGCGAGGAGCCAAATGACCATGCACTAAAGCCTCTGAAGCCATGAGCCAAAATAAATGTTTCCCTTCTTAAGTTCTTTGGCTGGGGTATTGTGTTACAATGATGGGAAGCTGATTATGACATCTTGTTTCATAGATGAGGAAGGTCAGAGAGGTGAAGTAGCCAAGCCTGCCAGGGTCCTTCTGATGGGCCAATCGTGTGGTGCTGTTAGTGTTCAATCTATCAAGAGTATCTTTGCCCTTTAACCATCAAGGATTAAGGACAGCATGAAGAAATAAGAGAGCTGATGGTGGAAGACTTTACTACCATGTGTTTGGTCTTGGATGGAAAGAGACAGTATCAGCATTGAGACGGAGAACATGGTAGTGGGTAGCAGTGCAGCTGAACTGAGGTGAAGCGGTTAGAAAAAGGTGATCAGTTAAGCTTGGGACACATGGCATTTGGGGAGTCTGCGGGATATCCATAGGGGGGCTCAGGAGAGAGAGCACTGAGATGCAGGTCATAACCTTGGGGAAGCCAACTTGAGACTGAGACAGGCAAGAAATATCTGTAAACAACAGTGAGAAACACTTGCCACAGAGGGTGACACGGACACAGGGGATGGTGGTGTACATAGAGGAGAAGGTGCTGACCAAGTTGAGTACCAGTGGGCAGTCGTGCCAGCAACATTACAGTACTGATAGAGCCAACCATGGGGTCACATATCCGTGATCCCAACAAGGGGATTTAGGGGATTTAGAGGTCAAAGCCTGGCTACATGATAAGGCTAGCTTGAGCTACATATCAAGACCCTTAACCGCCAGCAACCAGTAAACAAAACACTACTCCCGATGGGTCCAGAAAGATGGGATCTGGATGTGTCTGTGAGATTCAGCAGAGAGGTTCCTGGTGACCTCAGCTTGATGGTCCCAGTAGTAAAGAAGCTGTGAGGTCGATCAAGTGGAGAGCTGGCTGGCTGGAGTCAGAAGTATCTAAGGACACCCCGTTGCTCTATCAAAAGACTTCAACCTGGGTGATTGATAGGTGACAGATCCAGGAAGCTCAAGGTCAAGTGTCAGCGGATTCCTAGGCTTCTGCTTCATAAACGCCCTCTCCTAGCTGTGTCTTTGCATGGTGGGACCCAGGCAAGCTCCTCCTGGCACTGCCATAGGGTCTCTGCTTTTATGACCCAATTGCTCTCCCCACTATCACACTGGAGCTGTGTTTCAGTGTCTGACCTGTAGGGAATACTTTGGGATTGAAGGTTGGTGCAATGGTTATTATTGGTTGTCGAGCTGGCTGCATCTGGAATTAACCAAAACCCAAATGGCTGGGCACACCTGTGAAGGGTTTTTTCCTTAATTAAATTCTTTGAAGAGGGAAGACCCACTTCTAATTCGAATCTCTGTAATGGGGAAATACACCCTAGACCCATTTTTTTGTGGTTGGAAGAGCCAGCTTTAATCTGGGCCACACCTTCTGCTGGCAGCCTATATTCAGGACATGGAAGGAGGAGGCTTGCTCTCTCTGCCGGCTTTCTCTTGCTCTAGCTAGCAAGGCCCTTCCCTCACTGGCATTAGAGCCCATTTCTTCAGGATTCTGGTGCACACTGAAGACCAGCTGAGACATCCAGTCTCAAGGACTGAACGACTACTGGATTCTTGGACCTTCTGTTGGTAGACAGCCATTGACAGACTTGCTGGACCACATCCTGTAAGCCACTCTAGTAAATCCCCTTTCTGCTGTTTGCTGGTGGGGAACCAGAAGTAGAGGGTAAAGCATGGTGGGGCGGGGGTGTCAGTTGCTTTTCTTGTTGCTGCGGTGAAATACCTTAGTATAGGAAGGAAGGAAGGAAGGGTGTATCCAGGTTCTCAGCTTTTGGGTGCAGTCCTTTATGGTGGGGAAGGTATGACATCAGGAGCACGCAGCGCCTGACCACTCTTTATCCACTGTCAGGAAGCAGAGAGCAATGGATTCTGATGCTCAACTCACTTTCGCTATTTTAAGAGACCTGAGGCCCAGGGAGTATCACCCACATTTAGGGTAGGTCTTACCACTGAGTTAACTCAGTCTAGGAACTCCCTCGTGACACGGCCAGAGCCTTGTCTCCTAGGTGACTCTTTAATAGATTCTGTCAAGTCAGCAATATTAGCCATCACTGGGAAGAAGGAATGAGTGAACAGAGCAGAAGAGCTCTGAACCTAGGATCTGGGCTCCAGGCCCGGGTAGGAAGAGGCAGGCAAAAGCAGAGAAAGCTAAAAGGCACATTTTGAGTTGGGGTGAGGGTTAGTGACAAGTCTCCTTTAAGACCTGGATGTGATCAGAGGCTGCAAGGTACATTTGACCACCACTGGGTGGACCTGGGGACAAGAGTGGACTAAGCTCAGATCTCGGTGCTGGGCTGAATTAGACCCAAGCCTTGCACATCTGGTAATCTGTTTCCTTTGCTATGAAACAAAGGACTGTTGATCAAGTGAGGGTTTCTTAAGTGTTATCTTTGTACTGATACAGTGCAGATTAAAAAGAGGTGAAAGGTGCCAGCAGACACCACAAACACATTTCATCCATGCTGCACAGTCCATGTCCCTCTCCTCCAGGACCATAGGAGGTCCACATGCTCACTGTCCCCTGTCTCCCTAACTGAAGTGGAGAGGTCCTGAGATGTCTGCAGGAGGAGTCACACATCTCAGGAGCATGTACACACTCAAATCACAGAACAGCCTGGGGGCAGAGAGTTGACCCAAGGGAGTATAAAGGCACCTTCTGTGGGCCTAATGACCTGAGTTCAATTCCTGGAACCTATGTGGTGGAAGATAAGAACCAAGTCCTGTGAGCTTTTCTTTGTCTTCCGAGTGAACACACACAAACACACACTCAATAAAGTGAAGAAGAGAAAGGAAGAAGAAAGAGAGAGAGAGAGAGAGAGAGAGAGAGAGAGAGAGAGAGAGAGAGAGAGAGAGAGAGAGAGAGAGAGAAAAGTACTTAGCCAAACAGAGACCAGCTGACCAGCTGCCTGTGTCTGCCTGGACTCCTCTCTGCCCTGGGAGAATGGTGACGTGCTGTCTCTCTCTGTCTGGCTCCCACTGCTCCTCCTCATCACCTCCACCACCTTAGAGGTGTGAGGTTCTGACAGACATGACAGGCTGGAAAAGGAAAGTGCCAAGGAATAAG